ATTTTTTCTAAAGTACCCCGTTCCAAATTTCTTTGTGTATTTTAGAAATAATTAACCAGATGGATAATAAAGGGGCTGATATTGTATATCCTGATGCTATTTCTGCTGAACAAATTGCAAATGTAAACTATTATAACCAACAGCCTCCTGCGTATCAAAGCACAAATGTCACTTCACCTTACTCACCTTACTCACCTAATACCGTCTATTACCCTGCTTCAGCTCAACCGGTGTTAGTTCCTGTTTATACCACAAGTAATGTCCCCGATTTTATGTGTTGGTCAATTGCCAACATCTTTTTCGGCGGTATCATATTGGGTTTGATATCGGTCGCAATGTCAATAGCCGTGAGAAATTATAAGCAATCGGGAGACAATAATGCGGCGAAAGGTTGGAGTATAGCAACGGGAATTTGGAACGGATTTGTGACACTGGGTACGATAGCACTTATTGTTGTCATTATTGTCGTTATTATACCATTTTACCGATATTATTAGGGGTTAAAGCATAATTGATGTTTCTATTTTTCTCTGTATAACATTCATATTGTTTTAATAATCACATGTAATACGGAAAGATACACAAACTAGGAGTTATAGGTAGCATGGACTTAAACGAATAACATTGTGAAGAAAAAACTTTCATTTAGATGTGTTTGAGAAAAAAATTGCATTTAAACGCGTTTTCAAATTTGATCTTTTTAGAAAACTCAGATAAATGTCATTGCTTTTGTATATGCCTTCATTTATGAAAATATTCGAATTTAACGGATTTTTGTTTCCAAAATTTGAGAAAAGAGATATTAGTTCTAGTAGTTATCTATTAAGTATGATCAGCATGAACAAATCAGATTAGCTGATTCATATGAAAATTTGAGAAAGGTGAACAAGGTAGTACTAAATTATTAAAACACAAAGTAATACCGTTTTTGAGACGAGAAATAAAATTAACTATACGAGATGGTATCAAAGTGTCAATCTCTTTTACACATTAAAATCAATCTACAATGAGGAAAATTCTCATTATGTATGGAAATGATTTTAAAATTTTTATGAATACTGATGGACACTTATATTTATATGTTATTAAATTAAATTTCTTTGTGAAAAATGGAATCTGCTCATAAATTAATCGTGATTTTGAAGTAAAGGTCTGAGTAAAGATCCTAACGTAGAAAGTTGAGCTTGATCTTAAATGAAAGGTCTCGTCGAGTTCTATATATTTCAATGAAAAAAAATTATTTTCTGGTTAGGTTCACCTACTCGTCGTTCGACTGAGCACGTTTCACCAACATATATAAGCCTATATATGTTCACCCTATATATAGGGTGAACCAGAAGTCCTAAAACACTTTTCGATTCAAGTTTTATCCACACTGACTTGCATTTAAAAATTTAATATTTAGCCCAAAAGATAGAGAATTTAATTCTCTAGAAAACTGTTGATTTTGTTTTGAAATTATTTTCGAAATTTCAGCAGATTATTCACGATTTTAAGGGTACATTACGATCCCTATTTAAGGGTACACATTACGACCCCTCGAAAAAACGGTCCGATCGAGCTTCAAATTTTAGTACACATTACGACCCCTCGAAAAAACGGTCCGATCGAGCTTCAAATTTTAGTGCAGATACTTCAGACCCTATCTCAGGTTCGTCTTTTTTAAGCGTTTTCAATTTGAACTTTCGGCGTGAAAAGGTTTTTAAAATGAAAAACCGACTTTTTATATGGCACTTCTAGTATTTTTCGAATATCTCGAGAACGAATGAATATTTTTCGAAAAGAAAAAAACAAAACCTGAGATAGGGCCTGAAGAATCTGTGGTAAAATTTTGAGCTCGATGGGACCATTTTTTCGAGGGTTCGTAATGTGGCCTAATGAAAAGTGGAGTTTTCCAGAAAACCCATAGAAGAACGCGTCAGAAAATTGTGAACAAAAATACATCGATTTTCTTTTTCGATGTTCTATCTCTGGTATAAATTTCGACCCGATCCGACATCGGCTTCCCGGATTTCCAGGAGGGTCAAAAAAGAGGGGCAGTATCCTTAAGATATTCTAGCTTTGTAAACGGTACAAAGTAAACTTAACTTCTTTTGCGAAGCGTTGTTGACCTCTCAATTCAACTTTCAGATAATTATTTTAACGTTAAAAGATGCAGAATTCTACACTGTATAATCTAACACTATTTGTGTTAAATGATTATTCTTTTTAGCGAGAAAGAAAGCCCTAAACTGACTGATTTATGGACAAAATTCATATTATCGGTATTTTTTCTCTCAAAGTCAAAATTTAAAGCCATGCATTTTATATTAGAAGATACAGAATTTCTCACTTTACAAGATTACATACATCACAAAATAAAATTATAAATTTAATTTTAGAGGGACTGCTCTTTTTCGTCATATAAGAACTGAGTGAGATTTTTATAAGATTCTTAGGAGGCTGCCCTTTTTTGTCCGTGGTCTTCCGAACATCTGACCAAGTGATGAGATGCTCGGGATCGAGTCTTTATAGCTTAAAATCGTTTTTACGGATCTTCGGAATGAAAAGTACGGATGTTCGTAACAGAAAAGATCGGATGTTCATAATAAAACGTGAGGCATTGTTACGAACATCCAGACATTTTTGTATACAAAAACAATATAATACCTTGACTCATTCCGTTCCGTACACCCAGACGACTTTCATTCCCAACATCCGGATTTTTTTTCGTTACCGTTCCGAACATCCGATCTTTTTGCATTCCAATCTTCCGGACTTTTCATTCCGAACATCCGGACTTTTTCAATAAAACCGGAGCTCGGAACAGACTACTCTGGCGAACGTCCGTAAGAAAAAGCAAAGACGAAAAGGGACGCAGCGGTATAAAATAATATTAGATGTTACTAAACATGGATCCTCCTAGGCTCCTAAGAAACTTCCGAGAGTCACCTTGACTTAGAAGGATTTTGTTTTGCCATATGAAGTATAAGACTTTGTAAAAGATTTCGCTCTGAATTTAATGGTGTATTATATTCTGATTAAGAAATTCTTTTTAGTCAAATTCGCTTGCAAATACTTCAGAACTTCTCACCTACCCTATATATATTTACATTCACAAAAAATACTATAAACAGTGTTCTCTCTGGAGCGTTGTATATTACTATACAATTCTTGACCATTAATTCGCTTTCTTTTTCTCATAATGACAAATGATTTTTTTTTGTATACCGACTGCTCTTTTGATTATTTCTCATTAAACATACAGAAAAAAATCGAATACAGCGAGCAGTGACAACACAACAAAAAAAAAGGAAAAAAGTCAAATCTAAACCAATAAGGAATACAAAACGATGAATTTTATCACATATCATGGACAGTAAAAAAAAATAGATAACTAGCTCGTTCTGCTTATTATGTTGTTTTCTTTTTTTTGTTTTTTGTTTTCCTGGTCTCTTTCTCAGTTCTAAAAAATATGTATGTGCATGATATAACTTGTAATAGATCTTTATGATTAGATTAGATAACAATAAAAAATTTCTAAATTGTTCATTTCATCATAGTTGTACTAAATTCTTCTGGTGTATCAATCGTACCTGAAACAATACAATTAATTTGTTCGAATGTTTTCTCATCGATTGGTGTATTAATTTCATAACAATTAGATTCTTTATTACAATTTAATATCCAGCCTGAAAAAGACAAAATATAAATACATGATAAACCGTACGGCGAGGGGTTATTAAATTTGAACATACCAAATCCTAAACATTCAAAATCTTTGTCCTTATATGACCATAAATGATAAGTATCATTAACTTTGACTGCTAATTCTTTCAACTAAACACAAATATATACTTAATAACCATCAATAGAACGTTTAAACTATTTTACCTTATCGATAACTGTATTTTTACATAAAGCAACAACGGTATGTTCTAAACAATCGGGTACAATATTTGAATTTTGATTGTATGTTTTTGATGTTTGATTACTGTTTTGATCTATAAGAATATTCACTACATTGTTCCATTGTAAATGAAAACATTTGTAATCGGACCATTTACGTTTTAATAATGAAACATTTTCAGTCTCTAAATAAGAAAAATAGGACCATGTGGCTAATAAACGATGATCACGTGGACGAAGAGTAAATGATTCTTGTCTAAACATACAACAGACACAACAGTTAGTGATATAATATCTCATCTGATTCAACGCTATGATGTATCCGACCTGTTCTGTGTTTTTTTAACACCTGATTGAAGTTTGACATAATCGAATTTTGTATGTAGTAATTTTTCATCCATATTCATTTTTCTCTATAAAAAAATCAGAAATATTTATAAGCATGCTAAAATATCAATAAAATATATTTAGATACCCGAAATGGAAGATAAGCCGTTTGGTTTTGATACCAGGTGGGTGTTATATCAGGCATAGTATCCTGCTTATAGCCATATTGTTGTTGCTGTTTTTCAATTTGTATAATCACATGGGGCTGGGTTAAATCGATTGTCTCTTTTAATAATTCTAGACCAAGTCCTATAATAAATACTTCTTATGTATGAATTTATCTTTGAGGTATTTACCTATTAGAACAATAGTTTGAATATAGTCTAGTTGTTGTTGTTGGTTTTTTCTCCTTTTAAAATTCATCACTTACCAGTTCCCCAGCCCATTGTATTGATAATAATCATGTATTTTTTTTGTTTCTGTTCTTCTTGTTGATTATTATGATCTAAAATCCATGATTGTTTTAATAACTTTATATAATTTAAATACCTTATTGAATCCGATTGCGGAGATAATAGTCCATAATAGTATGTTCTCTTTGGTTTTAAACATAAATGTGTACACGGTGGTCCAACAATAGGTATTTCGTCAGCTGTAAGATCTAAATAAGATAAGCAACCACTTATCGTAAATTCACATTGTCCAATATCGCAATCGAAATAGGTGATAGATAAAGAATTGCTATCCAACGATGATTTTAGATGATCGAATGATCGATTAAGTAAATAACGCTCAAATGACGATTTACCAACATCTTTTTCTCCACATACCATCACGACATAAGGTTGATCTAAACACACAAACACAAAACAGAATATAATAAAATGTGTAGAAAGTAATTACAGCATCATATTTCAAATCATAAAATCATTTACATCGTACTTTCTGTTGCATTTTTATTCCATTGTTCAATTAAAGTATCAACTGTCTCTTTAAATTCATTACTAATAGTTATTGATTGATCGATATTATTATCTAATATTTTTATATTTAAACTATTTTCCATCGTATTCCAAGATAGATTATGTTCTTCTTCTTCCTCATCCACATCTATATTCCTATTAAAAAAAAATTTATTATAATATCCATGATCTTTGATTGTCAATAAAAATGGCGTCATTTTGATCTTTTTGATAATGATTATGTCATCTGTCTTCTTATCTCTAAAAATTTCTTTTAATATTTTATTAATTCGTTGTCTCAGATCGTCTTTATCTTCTTGTATTAACGTTTCTAAATAGGATTTTGAATGTTGCAGCTTCAACTGATAGTTCAAATGATCACTCACAGATATCGTTGGTTTTAATTCAATTTTCAATGGCATATTTGTACGACAATTGTAAATGGAATAAAATTTTCTTGGTTCTAATTGATAACCGTTGATGATTATATGACCATATAACGAACATAATCTGAAACAATTTCCAATTGTTAAACATGAGTCTTTTGTATGTAATATATATTTTAATTGGTCACCACTTTCACTCTTAGTTGTGATGCTATCGATTATGTACGATAATCGTTCATCCATTTCAGATGAAGAAAATGGATATTTCCGTTTCAGATAGGGTTTCTAAACATAAAAAAGAAGCAAATTTTCAAATTAATTTATGGAGTGATTAGGAATAGAAAAGAAGCTTCATGTTTAAATAACGATGAAAAAAGCATGTATAGATACACAAAAGAAGGAGCATATTTCAACTTTTGGATAAAGACAAGAATAAGAGAAAAAGAATATGTTGGCTTTATTGACAGACAACATGTATGTAGCCTCTGTTTATTTCTTTCATCTATTTCAAACCGTAAAGATTTTTACCCACGCTAATCTCTCGATAGAAATTCTAAGGATCATCACAAAAGAACGCCTCCATCAGTCTGAAAACAAGAATAAATAATTCTTTCAGAAAATTTATACAACAAAGATTTTGATAAAAACCGTACAATTGACGTGGTTGTTTGACTCTTCGGATTTTTGTTGCGATTTGTTTCACTTTCATTTTGATCGCAACTTGCATTTGTTTGCTCATCATAACTACTGTTACGTGAATCTGTCATTTCACAAGCATATATTGTTGTTTATTGGTTATCCAAAAAAAAGCAACCGTATTATTGATCTAAAACACAAGCAAACTAGTAATACAGGAAACAATAGTCCAAAAATGTTTTCTTCATGGACAAATCAATCCATCGATTTAAAAGGTTTTGCATTCTTCGATTTCATTAAGATTAGAATTCTTTTCGTGTGAGCTTTAATAATTAACTGTTGAACGAATAATCTTACATTTTCTCATATCATAAGAACTTTCTTCAATCAGAAAAAAAAACACATTTAATGACCATGGTTACTTATTTACATAAAATTCAACTGTATCTGACATACAAAAAGGACGTTAAGAAAAATAGTTTGGTTATTATTGTGTCGGCGATATCGATTGCTGATGACTTGTGGTTGGTCTAGATTGTTGTTGAAATTGCTTCTTCAGCAATTCTAACCGTTCAATTTTTTCTTCAATCTCATCGATTGTGTCATATAGAGTTTCAATATGTTTTCTCGCTTGCAAATCTTTGCAATGTCCATGAAATGGGCAATAAATTTCTTGTCTATCAGTCATATTTATGGACAAATATCTAAAATTGTAAACATCAACAGAACAATAATTTAATTTAACTTAACTCAAAAGACTTTAAACTGACAAGACGAAAACGCTCTCCTAATATCTTAAAGAATATTCCTTTTAAGCGTTGTTGGAGTAACAGTATGGTATTGGTACGGTATAACACAATTTAAACGCCCCTTTAGTCATAATGTGAAAAATTTGTGCAATACTGTATACTTCTTCCAACTTTTTGGTTATTTCATCTATCGCTGCAATATTTGTATGCTAGGTATGACATAAAAATGAAATGTGGACGGAAAAAAGTCAGGGAAATGTGTGTAACATGACAAAGACTGGAGTAAAATTTAATTTCAAATAGCAGTGAAGTGAGATTAGATCATCATCATTGTAGGCTACTTGCAGACAAAACCAAACAATAACTTTTCGTTACGGTAAAGAATTATGGTTATATAAAATCATTAAACTTCTAGGAGCTACACTCTCATATAATCTAAATTAGAAGAAGCATATAACTCAATTGTCCATACGACGCAAGCCGATGCTGGAAGTACTGAGATGTACTTATTCTCTACTTTGTTGTTTCTCTTACATTACCTAGATTTTTCTTATACTCTTTCTCTTACATAAATCACGACCAAAAAATCAGACCAAGATCTTATATGATCTTATAAAATCTTACAGAAAATCATAGAAACGGATTCATCTTTTAAAAACCATACAAGAATCTTACGAAATCTGATGCAATCTTACTATAAGATCTTACATCAAAATCAGTTTCTATGTTTCTTACAGAATCTCACAAATTCCTATACGAATCTTACGAAATCAGACGAAATCGTACAAGCATCTTATAAGATCTTACAGTAAGATTCTTTGACCTGGGAACGTTAACAACAACGAAAGCTTCGGTTAAGAAGGAACAAAATTGCTAATGCTATGTTGCTTTCTACTATTTCTTTCTTGCTGTTTACATTGGATTTAGACGGTTTAACCATTATTTTTTTATAATGCAAGATCAAAACAGAACACAAATGACGATTATGGTGTTTGTTTCGATAATGAAAATATTTACACTATAAAATTATATTGTATAACATTTTATGAGAACGATAAAAATTGCGACAGTCTTTTAGATGTCGCCAGCAGTCATGAACACTTTACATGTTATCCGAAATGAGTTGATTCTAACAGTATAGTATGAACATTTTGTTGTGTTGAATATATCGACATAGATCAAATATATATAAATAATACATCAGTTAGCAAATGCGGCCTCTGAATTGACAGTCTATGAATGGACAACATACTAGTGGAAAAATTGTGATCAACTATAGAACAAAGTAGACAAACATTTATGTAGTATAGTACAAGTTTTCTTTTCCTATCAATTAAAAATAGCGCAATACAAGTATTAGGAATTATTTCTGACGTGAAAAACTAAAATCTCCGTCTTTGTGTTTGAACTATAATATCATACTTCATTTTTTATTTTCATGATTAAAGCATAAACAGACGTACTTCTTAACCTCGTTGTCATGTACTTAAACTATTTATTATCAAGCGTTTATTATCAACATCTGAGGAGATCCAACAACTGAATATGCTAAATCGAATTTACAAATAGCTTCTGTCCTTATATTTGTCACCTACAATGTTTAATAAAAATCTTTTTTAAAGAGTTCCGAATGATCTGTAGTATTCGTAGTTAAATTAGCAAGCACTACTTGTTTAAAAATGTAGGGTTGAGTGTGAAGGAAGTAGTTTTAATTGTTCTTTATGTATTTCACGCGATCTAATGATTGTGAATAGAATGCAAAATTGTTCGCCTCATAATGACTGCATATTAACAAAGCGATTTAACGGTGAGATATTGGAAACCAATGCATTCTAATTTTTTCAGTACATTATATCGCATCGCACGAATATATCTCAACGATGAATTAAGAAAAATCAAAAATATCGATTTTCTATATCTGTTGATGACGAAATAAATTCAACATTTATTTAATAAACTTCATCAAGAACTGAGCAAGTCAGGGCTTTTTAAAGTCTCACATGATACCAGATTCTCCAAAAAAAATGTTTAAATCAAGTTAGACTTGCTCACGTTTGACCTTAACAGTGGAAGTTGTTAACATCTGCAGTTTTTCGTTTTATTGTTTGCTGGAACACTTTTTACATCCATCAGAACAAAAGACAACGTAGCTGAATCGGAGATAATTTTTTTTGGATACTACCGATGTAGTTGTCTGATGAGTTAGGAAAATATTAGAAGCTATAGTCTCATTCAAACTCAATCGAAATTCAGCTTGATTCTCTCATTATTTTTAGATAATAAATAAACAATTTTGTAGAAAATGGCTGACGTTTGGAAACAATCATCTCATGTTAGCTTATCAATGCCAACTGAACCACCATCCAGTGACAAATCAAATACAAGTGATAACTTACAATTTATAAACGCATTTACCTATCCTAATTTTCAAGAACAAGAACAGCAATCATCACATCAACAACAACAACAACAACAACAGCATACAAATATTTCATTTTCTGGTGCGATTATTTCATTTTGCTTTTATGAATATATTTGATTTTATATTTATCCTTTAAGGTAATATGGAACCAGATCAGTCATCTCAAATTCGACATCGTGGTTGGTTAGGTGGTACATTAGATAAACAAGGATTTGGATGGTTATTGGATTCGGCTGAGGACGAACAAGAAGAAGAAAACAGGCCTTTGTTGTAAGTTGAACTGTCGTCAACCACTTACAAGATACAGTTGAAGGAGATATTCTTAAAAGTCGTACGACCAGAATCTCTGTTTGTAAAAACAAGGAAAAACATATCGTTTTAATATAATTTCTAAAATATAGAGCGAGAAAAGGGCAAGTTTTCTCGTACGTCTGTTAAAGTGACCTATCATGAGAAATACTCATTCAGATGAAAAGGAGAAGTTAGCAATGATGAATGAGGAGTTTGTACGGCTTCTGTATGTCTTAGTGTGGAAATTGTAGTATTTAGAAAATAACATTTTAATTTGATTAACTTTGTGGGTTATAGGGAAGAATTAGACATCAATCTACATGAAATAACAGCAAAACTACGTTGTGTCATATTGCCAATTCCGTCACGTTCAATTCAAAGAGCGGCTTTGCTAAGAGATAATCCAGATTTCTGGGGACCTGTTTGTAGCCCTTTATTTTCTCATTATTCTTTTATTATGCATGCTTTCTCTCTTTTTTCTAGCTACTGGTTGTATTATGTTTTGCATTATTATCAGTTTATGGACAAATTAGAGTAAGAAGTCAAATTAAACTATATTTAGAATAAGAACACAATAATAAGATAAATTGAAGAGAATGTCAAAATCGATGTTTTTTTGTTCTTTTAAGGTTGTGTCATGGATCATCACAATCTGGATATTTGGTTCACTTGCGATATTTGTACTAGCTAGAGTTTTAGGAGGCGAGGTAACATACATTTCATTTTACAGATCAAAAAATCTTATTGTTTACTATTAAGGTATATTACTCACAAATTGTTGGAACAATTGGTTACTCACTTTTGCCGTTATTATTTGTGGCATTTGCTTGTCCATTAGTAAAAACGATGCATTATTTTGTTAATTTTATCAAAGTAAGTGAGATGATATTTGTTAAAAACTCTTTTGAGAACGAAAAAGATAGCAAGTGTTATACAATGAGTCAGTAGTGACTTTATTAAAATAGAAAATACTTTATGAGCCCCTGCATTCTATGTTCTGATCCATCTTGTGAAAATTTGCTATAGTGCTAATAAAAAAAATTTACGACACACTTTTTTCTGATTTTAAAAGCTTCATGCTCGCCAAAAATGTCATTATCATGCACGTTACTTGAAGAATTAGATACTGTACTGTTTTTTTTTAGTTACTTGGTGTAACATGGTCAACGTACAGTGCTGCTACGTTATTATGTGTCGAAGAACTTCAACATAAAAAGCCATTGCTTCTTTATCCAATATTTTTATTGTACATTTATTTTCTATCACTTTATACAGGTGTTTAAAGAATATTTTTCCTTTATTGACTAAAAAATTGCACAAATGAGTTTTACCCCAATATACGCTATATCTAATAGTTGTGAGATAAAACTAATGTCATAAACAACAAAAAAATGGGATTTTAAGTGTAAAAATAACCTTTAACGATCAAGTTAGATTTTACTATGTTTTTTTTTTATCATTGTAATAGAATAAATAGTGGAAATGTTAAAGTTTTGAGAATGCATCAAAACAATCGCTTCAAATTTAGTCCAAAAATTACCTTTTTCGTTACGGAGAAAATTAGCGAAAGTAAATGGCGAATAATAAGAAAAGAGTATTCCCGAAATTATTTATAAAAACTGAAATGATAAATATCATAGATGTGACAGGTGGACTTCTTGATAATTAAACTAAGTGCTTGATAATGTTGCTTTTAAATAAATTATTATGACGAAATTTCAGCACTTAGTTTCGAGTTGGGTGGTGAGAGTTGCTATAGGTTCTAAACCAAAAGTGCACAGCGAGCAGTTTTGGCCAGGCACGTGGACATGCGTCATAAAAATGATACGAAAACCTCTAAACACTGTTTTTATAGGCTATCGTATATGCTCTTTCCAATGGCGTGATTTACAAAATTCAAAAACACTTTTTAGTCAAGTTTTCCAAAGAGCTGATTTTGGTAAACCCTGTTAAAAATATCTTTGAACTTGTAAAAAATTGATTTTATGTTTTTCGATAGTTTTAGTTTAGAATACTATAATGGAATATTCTTCTGCTTGTATTCTGACAGAATAAAGCTTATATCAACTTGTAAGTCACAATATTGGAAAGATCATATACGAAAACCTATAGCTGATGATACACAGTGTGGAAAGAAAGAACTAGATACCAACTATCCTTCGGGGAGATTGAAAAGCCGACCGAGTGAAGCGGTAAACAGACGAAATTAGAACGTCCAGAAAGTAAGATATGGCAGCTGATTCATTATCATCATACATTATGCTGTAGCTTTCATCATTTCACAATCTTTGACAATCCAGTTAGAACACTGCAGTCCTCTAGTAGTAAATATTATGATGCATTCTATCGGTAATAATGTTTCAGACTATAAACTATACCGAAGTATAGACTGATAAATAGCACGTGACTACACGGTGATCTGGAATTATTTTTTATTTTATAGAAAATCCAACTGGTAAATCGCCAAGGATTTTCCAACTTTTATTAAATCCTCAGCGATTTTCTGAGTATTTAGAAAATGTTGATTTTCTACTTTGTAGAAAATCCGCTCGATTTTCTTTGAATTGCCTTTTCTCACTTACCACAAAATCGATAAAGAATTTCTAAAAAGTTGAAAAATTGACAGCGATTTTCATCGCAACTTTCTGAATATCGTAAAGCGATTAGCTTCTGCTAATATTCCTCATTTTTATGTTTGAATTTAGCATCTTCCAAAAATGTAGTTGGTTCTATTAACTCAGAGGCATGATCCTAACAATTCACATTTATTTCCTTTTTTTTTAAATAAAATAACAGTCGTTCAGCACGTGATCGATTTCGAATTTGGTTTTCATTATTAAAAGATCCATATTGGCATCCAATACGCTGAATCAATTCACCCCACTCAACTTCGAAGTTCAATAGCTTTTAATAACGGTGAAAAGGTTTATCTTCAGCCATTTTCTAGAAAGCAGAAAATAATCTGACTTTTCGATTTTCGAAAAGTCCATATATAAAATCGCTGAGGATTTTCTATAAATAATTTCCAACAATGTAGAAAATTGACATCGATTTTCTACATCAATAGAAATTCGATTTTCTATAATCTGGAAAATCCGTAAAGATATATGGACTTTTTGAAAACCGCCGAGCATTTTCTATAAATAATTTTCGACTTTATAGTGTACTTAATGAATCACTCTACACTGTTCATACTGAATGTATGTGAAACGTTACGTGACAATTAATTATCTCATAGAAAAGTTATTGAAAATATGCTCAGCTTTTGGGATTCACTACTTAATAATTAAAACATATATCGAAAAAACATCTTCAGCTGTTTCATCTACAGTTCGTCCAGTCTCGAATGATCTTTTTCCCAAATCTGTACGATTATAATTTTTTGTAGTGAAAAAGAATAAGCCTCTTCGAGTTTCACTGAGTCGGCTTAACTAGATTCGTTCGTAGAAATGAAATATGTCTGTGAATAATAACCTTCACACGTTCTATAAGTTCACACACGTTTTATAACAAGATAGAACGTCAACCTCCTTTTTTGTTTTTGTCAAAGATCGGAAAGTTCCGATTGCATGCGTGGAAAATAAACTAAAATACTAAAATTTCTTTCTCTTTCCGTCTGTCTCGGTATGCTAATATCTATATAGTGTATCGGGAATAGACTAAAAGTATGTTGATGAAGAGGAAGGAAGGTATTGTTTTGAAAAAAGGAAAGTGGATCATATTAAATCTGCTGGGCTACAGAGCTAGCTGGCCGATATACGTGTAGAGAAACAACTAATAATCCAGAGTTTCCTGATGTCAGATAACTTTTTCCCAAATATGTACTATCATAAATAACCGAGAACAAGAGGCTGACTTGAAGCAGAAAGTAGGTGCAGAAGATTAGTTTTATTCGATTTTTAGTTTTTAATCAGACAAACAAATAAAAAACCATTTTTTCGTATAAGATCCCTAATGACGGTAGGAGAATATTGTTTTTTAAATAATAAAATGTATTATTTTTTTATTTCATAATAATGAGTTATAGAATTATTTGTTTTTATTGGTTGATTAACTGCTTAATCCCGTTATAAGGTATCGGATGTACTCGTTAAAAAGAACAAAAAAGAATATTTATATCCGAAAAAAAATGTGAAAAATCGTTTAAACCGCAAGGGATTACCACGTATGTGAACGCTTGTCCAAAGGAATATTGTAAGAAAAACGGGATGCAAACTAATTAGTGGATTGTCCAACAAGCTGAGCTTGAATGGTTTAATAAAATGAGTTTTTTTTGGTTTAGATTCAGCGTTGATGTGAGTTTGATGTTCCATAGTGAAATTATTTATTTCCAATGGGAAGAAGACAACGTCAACAATAATAAAAATTTTATGATACAAAAATCAAACTAAAACGTTCGTTCAACTAAAACCTTTAAGTTCTCTTCTTTCTATTGTAAGTGGTTTAGAATATCTTATTAATATAGCACGTTCCATTTCTAATGTTAATAATATGAACTCGATGTTTCTTGAATAACGTCTGACAGAAAAGTGATGGAGACTTGCGGTCTTGCCCAGATAAAAAACAAGATCTGAGCGCATCTTTTCATCACGAACGTCATTTTGGAAATCTTCTTCTAAAGTAGGTTTTCATCAACAATAAGAAGTAGTTTCTCGGGAAAAAAACAAGCTACTTAGACGCTAGAAAAAAATCACATTGCTGCATAAAAGGCACTTTCTCAGATTAAATTTTCTAAAATATTTTTAGGTCGCATGGAACATACGTAATCGACCACGCTGAATATCGTGCCAGTGTTTGTTTTTAGGAAAGAATCCAAAAATCTAGTGAAAACTCAGTTTTACAAAACTGGGGGCTTCCAGATTGTTTTCACCTAATATCAGATAATTTATAAGTCGATCAAAAATTTCTGTTCAAAAAACACTAGAACGAGCTCAGAACTTCCGAATGTACAGTAATTTTATGCTATTCTATATCATACTTAAGAGAAATCTAGAAAAGCAAGTTTACAAAACTCAATGGTTTAACCAGAGGATTTCTGAAAAACTTTTGAGCAAAAAATAAAATTGTATATTTTTATAGCTTTATTTATATTTATAAACTTTTAAAAAAATACCTGAATCAGAGTTTGGAGGATAATAGTCAGATAAGAGGGCTACGTCTCAAAAGAGGTACTTTTTTTTTGCAAACTCACACTCGGTTCTGTCTGTCCCCTCTGATGCTGTTTGATCTTGCAAAGTCAATTAGGACAGTTTTGTATTTCTTTTGGGAAGTTTCGGTTGTACTGTACATTCACATACATAACTGGATTTTTTTTCTCTTGCTCTCTACAATATTGCTTTCTATTTTTATTTTTCACTCTGATCATTTGACTGATCATCTTAGTAGATAACTGAAAAAGGTCTCGATAAACAGAATCATTTTATCATGTTAGAAAAGATGACTTTACGCTAATTCCTCTATTGAAAATGTTCATTTTCTTATTAAAATAAACGCGTTTGCTTGGCTGTTGAAAGTTCGACATTTTTCAATGAATGAGGAAACTGATCAAACATAAAACAAAATTAAATTATTCGCTTTTCTTTTATTAGTTGTTTCGGTGAGAAGAATACAGAGCACAACATCTCTTTATTTGCATAAATTCCGCTTTTTCGAATCAATCTCCAGCAAATTCCACCCCTTGCGATCCTTTTTCCTCTATAAAGATGGCATTCAATTCAGCCTCTCTAAGTAGGAGAAATCAGAGCACGTCGACAATTATTAAAAATGCATCAAAATTCCTTTCATACTTATCCTAATAAAGCACTAGAAGCCGTCACAAACGAATTTTCAATATTTAATTTTTGGTTTTATTGTTCTATCATAAGTGAAGTTAAACTGATAATTGGATTTTCAATTTTTTGTAAATACTAGCTACGCTACGGTCACATTACGTTGTTAATCGTGACTAAAACTAACAATGCATACAATTAATCATGGTTAACAATTTTATAGTGCAGACGCTGAAAGAAATCAAAAACTGTTGTTTTCCAGTTTTTCTACGTTTGCAATAAAAGCTTAAATTTATAAACTCTGTTTCGATCAATTAAGAAATTCGTTTCTTTGACCACTAACTAT